CATGTCCAAATCTTACCCCAAGATTCGTATATACTTAGGTATGGGTCAAAATTTCCCACCCCCATAACTCGATCAAATCTTATCCGATTTTCATGAGGTTTGTCTTTTTCTTCATGGATTTCCCTCTATATAAATCTGGCATTCATATCTGAACAACAATTTTTTTGTCGAAATTCATGTCCAAATGTTACCCCAAGATTCGTACACAGACTTGCGTCAAAAGTTCCCACCTCCGTAATTCGGTCAAATCTCATCCGATTTTCACGATGTTGGGCTTTTTGTTCATGGTTTTCCCTCTAGATTAATCTGGCATTCAAACCTTAATACCGATTTTTTAGTCGAAATTCATGTCAACATCTTAGCCCAAGATTCGTGAAGAGACATGGGTCAAAATTTTCCACCTCCATAACTCGCCTAAATCTCATCCGATTTTCATGAGCTTTGTCTTTTTCTTCATGGATTGCCCTCTAGATTTATCTGGCATTTAAATCTGAACACCGAATTTTTTGTCGAGATTCATGTCCAAATCTTACCCCAAGATTCGTATATAGGTATGGGTCAAAATTTCCCACCCCTATAACTCGATCAAATCTTATCCGATTTTCATGAGGTTTGTCTTTTTCTTCATGGATTTCCCTCTATATAAATCTGGCATTCAAATCTGAACAACGATTTTTTTGTCGAAATTAAATGTCAAAATGTTACCAGAAGATTCGTATATAGATATGGTCAGAAGTTCCCACCTCCGTAACTCGGTCAAATCTCATCCGAATTTTACGAAGTTGGGCTTTTTGTTCATGGTTTTTTCGCTAGATTAATCTAGCATTTAAATATAAACACCGATTTATTATTCGAAATTCATGTCCAAATCTAACATCAAAGACTGTCGACTGTTAGCAACTAGTTAATTTATTAATGTGATACGAAGAAGAAGAAACACTTAAATTGAGTCTGCATAATAGTTTTCTAAAAGCAAGGAGTTTACTATTTCAATTAAAATGATGAAAATAAAATTCTTTTAAGCCAATTAAAATGTAATTCCATTTTTTTGCCGTCCAGCTGTCAGCAGCGAAACAAACTTGAGGAACCTTAATTCAATTAATTAGTTCAAAAGTCATTTCTGTAATAAGATTAATAAGCCAGATTTTCAGTAAATTGTTATACTTCATATTGACCGCAGTCTGTCCCGGGGGATTAATTGAAAGTCCATCCAAGTTGGCTCGCTTTCCACATGCTGCTTTAACGTGTCCCGCTGCGTTAAGGTCCTGCTCTCGACCCGTCTGCTTGCGTCTCGTCCTTGTCTGCGTCAATATGTTGATTAACTCATTTATTTATGAGCTCGCACTGATTCCGCTTAATGGCTTACGCTGCACTTTGTACACAGCAGACCACTCGCTGTATCCTTGCCGTGTCCTTATAAGTCTACTGAGTACTTCAATATTTGTATACCCTGTATTCAAGGCAGCGTTAACAACCGTTTAACAAAGGATCTCTCAGTTTGTTCTATATCATTAACTTTGTCAGAAATAAACTGGCAGACCATGAACCGAGCCTCAAACCGGATTATGTGTGTAAAGACGAGTCTCAACATTAACCGAATCATATATTCAAATTTAAAATCATCATGAATGTTTGCTAGGTTTACGTATAAATGTTTCCCAGACTTCACATTCGCTTAATTAGTCAACACAAAAGTTTTGACAATTTCCAGGAACCGGTTCAGGCAATAACATTTTTTTCTGTATTTACGATCAACTTCGAACCTTGAACCGGACCGCCAAACATTTTCGTAGGTTTACCTTTAAATGTTCTTCGTCGTCAAGTTTTCCGTCAAAAAAGCTAGGCTCTAATTCGGTTTAAATCAAACCAGTTTAAAGCCTAACTTATTCTTAATTTATAATGAACCACACCTTTAGGCATATAAGTTGAATAAAAACAACCCAAACATCAGTTGAATCAACAATTACGTTTGTTTAAAATAGTCCTAAGGAGCCATTGGCAATGGTTCGAACCTTGAACCTAACCGCGGAACATTTTTGCTAGGTAAAATTCTGTGAAGAGCCGAACCCCAAACTGAACCTAATTATATAAAAAGTGAGTGAATGGTTCAAACCGTGAATTGAACCAGCAAAAGTTAAGGACATGTTTGATTTGTCTTTTAAATTTAAAAAAAAAAAAACATAATTTTCCTGTTTTATGGTATGTTTGCAATTAGTTCGCAATATCCTTAAATCAATTACAGAGTATCTCCTGACGGAGACTCTTTTCGCAACATTTCCGCTTGTTTTTTTTTATGTATTGCATTACATGTACTCGGGCTTGTAATACTCCTTGTATGTATTTTTGTTGTTGTTGTATCCGTTTCTCGAATTCCTTTTTTGGATATATAAATTGAACTCCATAATTGGCCGACTGAAATCGAGTCGGCTCGCTTTGGTTTTGGGCTCGGGCCGGGTTATATAAAGCGCAGCACTTTACCGTTAATTACTTTGCGTGTTTACCGCTCATCGAAATTTTATGAATGGCTCGGCCCGCTGCGGGTTTGAGGTTAAGTGCAAATGTGTACACATTTTCAGCTTATCCTTTTTTTTTTTTGTTCTCAATTTGATTTTGCACATTTTTAATAATTAAACACACAGACACTCGAAATGCTCATGGCTTGTTAAGTGCCCCAGACCGAAATCTCTTCCAGTCCCACATGTCTCCATTCTATCTATGACTGTGCACATTTGTCTGTCTGCGTGTGTGTGTTTGTGTGTGTGTCTGCGGGGAAAAAACTTTATAAATTATGCCAATCAAGCATAAGCGCGTTTTAAGTGCGCAAACTGCCAAAGGGGGGCGCAAAAAACGCGACGCTGCTCGAAAGGGGTAAAAAACGCGCTCGCGAGTTGTGGGCGAGTTTGGGGCGACTTTATGCCCACGTTACACGCCCCAGCCCCGTCCCTGTCCCCTCGGCCCCACCGTGGCTTGATTATTGATAATGACTTTGAAATGAATTTCCAGCGGGAAGTTAATTTAATTATGGCAATTCTTTTGAACCGAGTACTTTGCGAATAAAATAGCATCGATGTGGTGCAAATGAGTGCCTGGCAACGGCAACCGGCAGCACAAGTGCTTGGCTGGCTAACGGAATTAAAAATGTAATATAAACAATGTTTTGATTAATGATTACGCAATATACTCATGTGGCAGACGTGTGGCTCAAATAAAGCTTTAAGCTGGATGATAAACAGCAAAAGTTTTGTTTATAAATTCGCGAACATTTTGCTGCATACCATAATTGGTTGTCAATGTATATCAAAGCAATTAAATAGATTAAATTAATTAAAGAATAATCGAATGAAATTAAAAAATTTATAAAGGCATTTTCTTAAGTCTATTGATTAAGAGTTTGAAAGTGGAATGTTTAAAAAAATGACTTATTTTTTGATTTGAATGGACACGAACCTAAGTTCTCACGTTTGCCAGGCGGACGCCTTTCCACTAAGCTACTGCCAGCAATTAAATTGCTTGAGCTGTAGCATTGAAATTGTGAGTGAAGCAATTTTAAGGGAAATTCGACTAAACAGTATTAGTAAAATTTACGAGTACAAATAAATTTTTAAGCTCTTACACAATATCACCTAATTCCCGGCGAAGCATATATACAAAATATTTTATAAGCTCTCAATACGCTGATTAAAATAATAAAATTAGGAAAGAAAAGGGAAATTTCGATGCAATAAGAAAAAGGACAATAAGATTGTAATTAATTGTTTGTACTACTGTACTACTATTGTGCCTTTACTTGATCTTTGTGTCATAGATATTTGTCCCATCTAAATGCTTGCATATATGCAGAGAATATTCCGTGTTTAAAAGCCCACGACTCTGATATACTGATTCTGTGTCTCTGCACAGTTTATCAGAATGTGCTCTGGATTGTTGAACAGGGTTTGCAGGCTGAGTATGTTATTTCTTGTAAAAAAAAGCCTTTAGGTATCACAGTTTTGCTCATGTACATTTGGCTGTCCGTTTTCTGTCTAGTTGCCTAAATAGTTTGTTTCTAGATGTTTGTCTCTAAATGATTAAAAAGCTGACAAAATGTGGTTTACTATACAAAGAATGTGTCTTAGTAAGTGTGTGTCTCTGCAAGGGCTTTCCCATTGAATAACTAAGGCCCCCAGAAAGTTGATCAGCTTCCTTCTGTCTTCGTCTGCGAGCTCTTTGAATAGGATATGAGCACGACCCAATACCCAGTAGATGTTTATTTTATTGGTCATTTCCTACCTATTTAGAGTATTTAAGGCTTGCCCAGACATAACTCTTTTGGTGTGAGGTGCATAAATTGCCACTTGGCTATCTAAGAACAAGTTGTTATGTATTTGATCTAGGCTGAAAGTTGTGCTACGGACTCTGACTACTTGCGAAATGCTTCATAATTTCCCTAAAGAAATAAAAAAAGCAAATTCAGAGTCCGCAGACAGCAGCCCTTGCACGTAATTGTTAAGCTTTAATAAAAAGTGGGAATGTTTGGGTTCGAATTGTCAAATTGTTCAAAACTGTTTGTTTAATACTAAGGGGCTTACGACTAGCAAAAGTCTTGCTAACTAGCTGCTTGAATAATCACTGACTACGCCCCGCCATGAGATTTGGTTGTGCTGCACTCGTCAGCGTGGAGACAGTTGTCTGCCCTTGGGCTACACTTTGGTCGCCTTTTAAGTGTCTTTGTTGCCTGGCTGGGCTGCCGCTGCTTCTGCTGCTGGTGGTGGCCAGTTAGTCGCGCGTTTATAATTAAAACGTAATTGCCGCAATAAATTGCACAGACCGCAATGGCCAATGGCCAGCGAATGGTGACCATTGGAGCGCGTCCGCGAGTTTTTGCACTGTGGTTATTATTACAGCTGCTGCTGCTGCGTTGCAAGCAGCCATAAAAACGATTGGGAATGCGATTGGCCCATTCCAAGGCTGATTACATTTAACCGTGACTAGACTCTATACTATATCAAAGCTGTACTTACAATGTGGCGCCACCGATGTACATGCTGCCCTCGAACGGGCCAAACTCCTCCTCGGGCAGCAAATCGAGCATCTGGTAATCGGTGTTTATCATGAAGCGCACATGATATTGGTTGTAGTCTATCCATATTTTATGCCATTCGCCGCCATTTAATCTGAGAACAATTAGAACGAATCGATATATCATTGGGTTTGGCAGCAATTCAAGTCTAGCAATATTTCCCGGCTTTGCCAGGGCAAAAATAAATGGTCTCCGTAATTCTCTTTTCAATCTTATATGGTTGATACAGCGCCGATCAGTCAGTCAGTCAATCAATCAGTCTATTGTGCATATAATAGGAAATGGAAACCTGTTTTTAGGAGCTCTTTCAGCTTGCTAGCTCAAACGGAAAATCAGCAGTCAATCAATCAATCAGTCATTAAGCTCATGATATTGGGGCAATTAATCAATTAGTCCATCAGTCAGTTTTATATATAAAAAATGAAATGTGTTCAACGTACTTAATTTAACTATAAGACTCATGCCATCGAGGCGATCAATCAGTCAGTCGGTCAATCAATAAATCACTCAGGTAATTTTATTTATATATTTAATGGAAATCTGTTTGACAGAGTTTATTTAGCTTTAAGGCTCATGCTATTGAGTCCGTACGCCCACCATCAATCAGTCAGTCAATCAATCAGTCAATGTTATATATACAAAGTGGAGATTTGTTCGACGGACTTATTCGGTAGAGACTGTCAGTTGATTATTAGTCAGTCAGTCAGCCAGTCTGTCAGTCAGTTAATTTATCAATCAATCAGTCAGCCAGGACTGTTTTATATATATGTCGGAACAGAGAAATCACTTTCTTTGCAATTAGGCATACTGGCAGCACAGCAAGTCCCGAGTGTCGTTATAGTCACAAAATAATTATATTTTTAGGAGCGAGCACGTCTGTTCTCTATGACTTCCACTTTTAGAATGAATAATTTTCATCGTCCTCGAGCATACTACTCATGCTCTTGTCATTCTATATTCTTCTCTGACTTTTAGTACTGTTAGTGAACATTCAACACTATAGCAAACTGGACGTTATACAACACACTCGGGCCATGCTCGGCAGAGACTATCTTTTTTGTCTCACACCATGCTCTCAGTAGCAACCCTAATACAAGTAGGACAGTTATGTTAAATAGCAGTACCTTCTGTCAAATTCTCTGATTCTTACTAACACTTAATCGTTAGCATTCAAAATAATACTCACAATAATTTATTGGATACACGACACGGCCTTCCTGACATTTCACACGTCCTCGTGTGTACATTTCGCTTAGATCATGCCATAGTCAAAATTGTTGGGTAAAATTTATTAGTCATTACTTTACTTTAAGAATAGCTTTACAAACAGCAGTATCATCGGTCATTGTAGGTTTTATTTTTTTATTTTTTTTTTTTTTTTTTTTTTTTTTTTGTTGTTGTTCTGTCATCACACGTCTATAGGCTCTTGCTGCCCAGCAACGATAACATGGAGCGGATCCATACAGGTCTTTCAACCTCTGACCCCCGCCATAATATCACCCGCTTCAGCACGCCATGATCGAGCACTTGTGCACGGCGTGAGTATTATGGTGCGGTCTTAGCCATCGTGTATGAGCCCAACCGCACTCTCTCTTAGTGCCACAGTGTCTTGAGCAATGTCCTCAACATTGTCACACTCATCATCTCTCAAATCTATCAACTCCTCCGATACATTGTTGCTTGGAAAAGCTCGCAAATACTCATGTGCATACTTAAACGTGCGCTTACTCGTCAATGACTTTAATAAATATCTGTCTCCATCAAGTATTTCGATTATCTCAAAAGGTCCCTTAAACTTGGGATCTAACTTCGTTTGATTTCGTTCTTCCCTCTTGAGTAGGACATGATCACCAAGCTTATATTTTACAATTTTTGCTTTATTTTTATCAAACCTAGCCTTATCATATTTAGCGTTATTCACCATGTTATCTTTCGCTTGTGCTCTTATTAAATCTTTATCAATTGTTTTTTCATCTGATATTGTTATCATTCCTAACGGCCTTGCCTCTTTACCGATTAGCAATTCTAACGGACTATATTTCGTTACACGATTTGTCGTGCAATTTATTGCCAGCTGTATGTCTTTTAAAGCGTCTTGCCAGGATCGCTGACTACTCTCAACCGCTGTGAGCATGCTCTTCAAGGTGCTCATGACACGCTCTACTTGGCCGTTTGCTCGACTGGCGCCCGTCGCAATCAGGTGTAAACCTATCTTCTGCGAAGAACAAAATTCCCTAAACCTTGTGCTAGCAAAACATCTACCCTGATCAGCTATGATGCGTGCCGGCACTCCGAATAGTGCAACAGTTTCTTTGACTGCCTTAATGCAGTTTTCCGTATTAAGGTTCAGCGTATGTTGAAGGTGAACAAATTTTGTGAATGCATCAACTTGAACTATGATGTACTCTTTTAAGTCGTTTTTGCCACTTAATTTTCCGGTTATATCAATATGCACAGTGTGCCAGGGTATGTCATCTTTAGGAATCGGGTGCATTTCTATTTGTGGCTTACCAGATGGTGGTTTTGACACTCTACAGGTAATGCAATTTTCTACAAACTTTTTCACATACTTAGACATCTTCTCGAACCAGTAGTTGGCATACATTTTGTCTAGAGTTTTCTTCCACCCTAAATGCATTATGGCTTCGTGAACATTGTTAATGACTGACCATCTAAAGGCTCTAGGTATTACAGGCAAACATTTTGTGCTGCCATTTCTTTGAATCCTTCGATATAATACTCCTGCTCTCAATTCGTACGACGCTGAGATAGCTTCTCCCATCTTATGGTTTCGCAATTTTAAGGTTATGGAAGCAATGTCAGAATCTCGTTGCTGTTCGGCTAGAAGCCAATCGTCGGTTATCTCAGCTAGGTTTATGTGCATTTCAACCGTTTTCGCTGAGGATTTATAATCAGTAGGCAACGGATTGCGCGAGAAAAAATCAGCATGTAACATGCGTTCTCCCTTCCTGTATTCAATGCTGAAATCAAATGATTGCAGATATGCCCACCATCTATGTACCCTTGGGGTAAGGTTAATTTTTTTGATACTTGCTTTCAGGGAGTTGCAATCTGTATGCACAATAAATTTTTGACCATGTAAATAATGGCGGAAGTGTCTTACTGCGTTGTAAACTGCGAGGGTCTCAAGCTCGTATGAATGATATTTTGCTTCAGCCATTGTCGTACATTTGCTGTAATATTCAATGACTCTGGGTCTATTTTCTATCTTGTGCATTAAAATAGCACCATATCCAATAGAACTTGCGTCTGTATGTAATTCAATTGGCTTTAGTGGATCGAAAATTGTCAAAACGGAGTCATTAGTCAAAATTGATACGATTTTTTGACGAATTTCCTCATATTCCGGCTTCCAGACAAATTTATTATTCTTGGAGGTGAGATTATATAAAGCTTTCATCTGCTCAGAAAATTTTGGTACGAATTGCCTAAAATACGAGGCTAGGCCTATGAATTGTCGCACCTGCGTTACTGACTGCGGTGACGGCAATTCGGCCAACGCTTGTATCTTGCGTGGATTTGGTCGAATTTGACCCGCTTCAACCAAGTATCCTAAATATTCTATGCTTGTTTTCAAGAACGAGCATTTTGTAATGTTAAATGAGAATCCAGCTCTAGACAAGTTTTCCAAGACCGTTTGTAGCCTTTCAAGTGCCTCTTCCTTTGTCTTCGCTAGAATTAACACGTCATCTATATAGACGATGGCATACGTTTGAGCCAAATCACCCAATGCTCTCACGATTGCGCGCTGGAAAATCGAGGAAGCATTTTTTAATCCAAAAGGCATGGCCAAAAATTCATACTGTCCTTCTGGCGTGACAAAAGCAGTGCGCTCGATAGAGTCTGGGTGTATTGGAACTTGGTAAAAACCACTTGCCATGTCTAAACTGGAGAAATATTTGCCTTCACTCAGTCTATTAATTTGATCAGAAATCAAAGGCAGCGGATATTTGTCAGCGACCGTATTAGCATTCAGTTCCCGATAATCGACACATAGTCGATCGGTTCCATTTTTCTTTCTTACCATCAGCATTGGGCTTGCAAATGGAGAGCAACTAGGACGTATAACGTTTGCGTCTAACAATTCTTTTACTTTATTTCGCACGACTTCTTTTTCTTCTATGCTTAACCTATACGGACGCCTTTGTACAGTTTTATTTGGGTCAAGCAGGCGGATTTCAAGTTCACCCATAGTCACTCGCGTTTGAGGAATACCCTCAATAGATTTATCAGCATAGTTTTGCAATAATTCTAGCAGACGATTCTTATCAGTGTTGCTTAATGCTCTATCGTTATTCAGATGCTCTACGTAACTTATATCTGGCACTTTTATTAGTACATCAACAGTTTTGGTTTTGTACATTTCAAATTTGTCGGCCTCGATGGAGACTCCAAAGCCTAATCCGAGTATATCACGGCCTATCAATACATCGTATTTCAAAAACTTATCCATTATTACATGAAATAATATTTCTAAGGAGTACTGATCAATTTTAACAGTAGCCAAGATTTGCATAGTGCTATACACAGGATTTTCTCCAATACCCCTCAAAACTATCAAATTATTAATTCTTTTTCCGGAAAATTTCTCGGCACAACTCTCTCTGATGAGCGTACATTCCGCTCCAGAGTCAAAACAAAATGGAACGAGCTCACCAGATTGACGCAGGATTCCTTTTGGCTCGGACACACAACAGATGTTTATACGCTTGTCATGTGATCCAACACCGCTCGTAGAAACTCCTTTCGTACATGAAGACGCAATGTGGCCAGCATCGCCACATTTGAAGCAGGTAACGGCAGATCGAACTTTAGGTAATGCTGAGTTTTTTGACACGTTGCCTTCTTCATACTTCCTCTTGCGACATTCGACCATTTTGTGTCCGAGGTTTCCACAATGATGACATTTAATGCCATATGTTTTCGATCTCTTGCGATCTGGTTCCATTGGGATATTTGGCTGTAGACCTCCATTTGACCTTCCATAAGCATAGGCCTTCAGATGCTGTTGCATCTCGTCTTGACTTTTAATATTAGTCGTATATAACATACGTTGCAGACTTTTGTCGATTTTCGATGTATGTGCCAAAACAACTGAGACTGCAATTTCCTCCATGTTCGCTGTCTTCCATTTGGATAAAAGTGACGTCACAAGACGGCTCGCATATACGGAGAGGCATTCGCCATCATTCGGTCGGCCATTAAAAATGTTCATTAAAGTTGCCGCCGATGTTTCCATTCCCACGAAACGTTGCAAAAACAATTCCTTAAAATTTTGCCAGTTCATTCCAGTATAGCATATTTGAGAAAGCCAGGGCGAGGCGCTTCCTTCTAGGGAGCCGCTGAGGGTCATCACCAGTGTACTGCCCTCAATAGGATTATCGTCAAGTATTATGTCCACAGTTTTGCACCAGGCATTTGCATCTGCGCCTGCAATGTCCGGGTTGAACTTTGGCAACGAGATGCTCTTCTTTGTTGAGGATGCTGAATTTGACATCTGCATTGCTTTAATAATCTCAAGAATATTTCGATTTTGAGATTCCAAAAGCTGACGCCACGAATCGTCAGAATTGCCTCGTGGAGGGGCATCGCCTCATCCCACTTCTGATGTCGGAACAGAGAAATCACTTTCTTTGCAATTAGGCATACTGGCAGCACAGCAAGTCCCGAGTGTCGTTATAGTCACAAAATAATTATATTTTTAGGAGCGAGCACGTCTGTTCTCTATGACTTCCACTTTTAGAATGAATAATTTTCATCGTCCTCGAGCATACTACTCATGCTCTTGTCATTCTATATTCTTCTCTGACTTTTAGTACTGTTAGTGAACATTCAACACTATAGCAAACTGGACGTTATACAACACACTCGGGCCATGCTCGGCAGAGACTATCTTTTTTGTCTCACACCATGCTCTCAGTAGCAACCCTAATACAAGTAGGACAGTTATGTTAAATAGCAGTACCTTCTGTCAAATTCTCTGATTCTTACTAACACTTAATCGTTAGCATTCAAAATAATACTCACAATAATTTATTGGATACACGACATATAGAAACAGAGATATGTATGACAGACTCACCTGCGATGCGAGTTAATCACCAGCTCCCGTGTTGTGCCCGTGCTGAGGGTGAAATTGAACGTCAGCTGATAGTCTCCCGTGAGAGCCACCATGAAGGAGGGATAATGGGCACGGATTGGCGGCTGGAATAGGAGAATGGCCTTCTCGCCCGTGGTGCGGAACGAGAAGGCAATATCGCCCTTGCGCCAGCCGGGCACCTCAATGTACGACTGCGATGTGGTAAAGGTGACCACATACTTTTGGGTATCTGTGTGCCGCAATTTTAGTTAGTTGTTTGTTGTGGGAACTTGTCGCCAACTCACTTGTCTCGACGCATTCCAGGGGACCGAGCGTGATGCGACCCTGGGCTTCATCGTCGAGGTCCTTCTGCTGCAGGAAGTACATGTTGGTGATGCCTAAACTGTGCGGTTCCTGGTAGTAGCCCTCGTCCGAATTCCATTTGTTCTCCTTCACATCACAGTTGCATGATTGATTCGGGTCCACGCACGTCTTGTTCACGGAGCACGGGCAGGCGCCTCTGACGGACAAAAAGAGTTGAAAGATATTTTAGAAAACAAAAAACCAGCCCCACGCATACATTTGCATGTATTTGAGACGCCGCTGTCGACAGAGCTGCCGGCAATTTGACGAGTCGGATTCGATTTCTTTTGGCAATTCATGTTCGGCATTTTTGTTAGGGGCGTATTGTGTGCTGGGACGCGTTTGTCGCATGATAATTGCTTGAAGCGCAGCTCAGCTTTTGTGTGCTTTGCCTTTAATTTGATAAAGTAACCGCACAGCTGCAGCTATTGTTTACCTCTATAAAAACTATACAGAGTATAGCTATAAGCCAAAACATTGCTCGACTTTGTTGGTGGCCTGTTTGTGCGTTTGTGCGGTTTGCAATGCATGTGCCACATCCGTTTCCGCTTTGGCTGCTTGCACAGGCAGGACGACGGACCACAGCTAACAAACAAACAAACGATGCTGTCAAATTTTGAATGAGTAAAGACCAAACTACGATCCAATGATGGATGGCTCAATGGGCTGCCTGCCCGCAAACGCACAAGTTGTGCCAACAGCAACAAAAAAATAAGAGAACTGCGAGCTAACTCGCTTTTTTGTATATCCTGTCCGCAATGAAAAGGAGTTGAAGCAAGGGTATATTCGTGTCAGGAAAAGCTTGCAATAAGCTAAAAAGATGCTATATTTGAACTCGAGCAGGACTACGAGGACTTGTTCCCAGTTCATCTGTCTCCATGTCTGTTTGAATGTCTAGATAGTTCTCTAGAAAACTATTGTATACCAGATGCATAATAAGTTATTTCTTTCTTTTCTACTTAAACAAAACTTTCTTTGGTCTTTTTTTATAATCAGCGATTATGAGCATGGACATGAAAGCAAAGGAATTAGAGGAATATTTGGTATTTGGTAAATAAAGGAGAATCTTCGAATGAAAAGATCCCCATTGGCTGCTTTACAATTTCTGCTACAGAGCTTTGTTAACAGGATAACTGCTAGTCGAGCAAGCTACAGTTTCCCTTTGTTTTTTGCTGCTGCTTTGCCCAGACTTATGGGTCGACTGTATAAACACACACTCTCACACACACGCACACTAACAAATTTTGGTTTGGACTTGTGCTAAAACGCATTTTGATATTTCTGACTGTGGCCAAGCAGAAAGCCATTCGTTCAAAGCAGTTGCACAAAAAAAAAATGGACTAGGAGAAATAAAAATCAAGTTAAAAGAATCGGGTGCTATTTAGGCGCCAGAATTGATTTAGTGAAAGCGGAAATTAGTGACGCAGACCGAACCGAGCCGAGGTTGAAAAAAAAACCCAACTGGCAGCAGCTGTTGCCTACTTTGCAGCGCATGATGTATTGTCAAAGTGCTAGAGGAGTGCCATCCCCTGAACCCTGAACGCCATTCCCTGAACCCCTTGCCCGGCCGCTAATACCCTTTCAACGCTGCTGGAGCTTTGCAAAGAAATTAGGCGTAAAGACTAAATTTGTGCACAGAGTCATTCATTTTAAAAAGGCCGCCCATAAGAAAAATTACCCAGCAAAAGTTGAAAAAGAGTTGTTCGACAATATGGCAACATGCACACACACCAACACACACACGCACACAAATGGCCACACAGATGGGGCTACAGATGAGCGAGGCTCAGTCATAAACCTTATTAGCGCTGAGCCGGAAACATATTTGCCCGACATAAATACAACTCAGCCTTTTATACCCACGCACACGCACAACACACATCTGCAACTGTGTGTGTGTGTCTGTATCTGTATTTGTCTGTGTGTGTGTGTGTTTATGCTTTGCTCTTGTTTTCGCACTTTTGCAATTTTGTATTTTCATATGTTTTACTTTGGTATTTGCCATAAATTTTTTCGTGCCTCTATATATATATAGAACTTCCATTGAGTTGGGCATAAAAGTTTCGTGCTCCGTGTTGCTTTTCAATAAAAAGAAATATATGTTTTTATGTGAGCTAATAGCTGCTTAGCTTTTAAGTGAATTCTATTAATTCCTTTTCAATTATTATTAAGAATAGCTTTTTATAGGATTCTTACACTTTAGCATAATGCTAGGGCCATGCAGTTAATGGGCATTTTCACTGATTTATAAACTATATTTTGATTATAAATAAACTATAACGAAAAGAAAAAAAAATAATTTGTCACAGCTATAATTTCTATAGAACTTTCTTGGGAATTTCTATGTAAGCCAATTTTTTAGGAACAAGCAAAATATGTCTTAATCGCCTGAAAGGGTAGCTTTCATTCGACCAATAAAAATTAAAGCTGTTGGGCTTATGCAACATTCGGTTGGGCTTTCGGCGTCATAAAATGTTATGCTCCAATGAATAGAAACAAATGCCGCACGCACACACACATACACATAACTTAGCCAATGGGTTTTGCAGGAGGCGGGACTGGGCTGCGATTGCGTGCGCTAAGAAGTAGGCAACAGTTTTGTGCACATGTGAAAAATCAAATTTCAAGAGCTGAACCAACAGATGCAGCAGGCGACGGCGCCTGCTCGATACTGGCAAGCAGCAGGCCAAGCAGCATGACAAATTACGCAACAGACACACACACACACACACATTCACAGAGGCATTCAGTTGACAATTGTGGACATGGCTTGAGAGTTGAACCCGGGCTGCAGTTGTAAGTTGTTGTTGCAGTTGACACAAATGTACGCAAATCGAAGCATTATGTAAGTGAGACAGCTTTGTCTCTCTCTCTCTCTCTCTCTCTGCCTGGCTGTGTGTGTGTGTGTGAGTGTGTGTACCTCAGGTCTGTGGGCTGCCTTCCCGTGTGAATAAATATGTCAGTTAGCATTAAGTGTAGGCCCAGGCGCCTATATTATGCATGTTCGAGCAATTAATTTAAGTTTCGTTTACATTTGAAATGCCAACGAGGGGGCTGCCAGGGGCTGCAATAGGCCTCCTCCAACTATCAACTAACCGACTGCCCAGCTGCCCAACTGCCCAGTTGCCCAACTGCCAGCAGTTTGAAATGAAGGATTTATACTGTTGGATTACCGCACGTACACGCTGAGCGGGCGAGCTGTCCACTGGAGCAGAACGGGCCACACAATGCACTGTACTAGACCAACAAGTTAAGCAAATAGACTGCAACATTAATTGTGTGGCATGCGGTGTACCGAGGGGAGTGGCAGCAGTAGCCGCCGGTTAAAGGGTTGAGGCGGAGGGCGGGGATTGCCAACGATTTGTGCATAGAAATGGACATAGGCCGAGCTGGCACAGTGGCCGAGATAGCAACTATTTTGAGTTAAATATCAAATGATCGAAATAAAATAAACTAATTTTGACACCAAGAGTAGGTATGTGAGCTTAAGATTAGCAATATTTAGTCTTTGTGGCCCACTGTGCACACTCTTTATATATAGAGAAATATTCCTTTTGCCAAAAGTCATCGGATATCCCATAAGAGAACATATTGTTAACATATATTAAAATAAGAATCAAAGCACAGTGGAATTACTTATTTTGTTCAGTAATTACCATTTTCTAAGTCAAAAACAAACGGCATTTCATCAGCACATCTTCTTATTTAAACGCCAATTATTGTTTGCAATATTTTAGCATTTTTCCCCACTGTGCACTGTGCCAATTGGTGGCACGTAAATCACAAATGCCACGCACTGACAGCTGAGTAGCTAAAATCGCTTACCTCTTGACATTGCCGAGAAAGTCGACAGTGAGATTCTTGGCCGACGATGTAAACCAAGTGGCCGAATGCAGCTCCAGCTGGGCGCGATAGCAATCATATTTGATGTACTGTGTGCAGTAGAGCGAGTGCGAGATCAGCTCCTGCAGCATGTGCGGGGAGAACTCTCGGTAGCGAATGTTGAAGCTGAAATCGGTTTCGCGGGCGGAACGCACATCCACCTGGCTGGGCAGATTGTGCTCGACAATGGTCTTGGTGGCGTTCTCCAGGCTCTGAAAGTCGCACTTGACGTGCGCGGGCGGAAATACGCCGTTGCCATCGATGTCAATCAGATAGACATCGGACTTGGTGAAGCCCAGCAGAGCCAGCTCCTCGCAGGTCTTGCGATATTTGGTAAAATGGCAATTCTTGCCAATGTAGCCCGTGTGCTTGCAGTCGCAGGTGACGCGATCGTCTTTCACAAAGCACTTGCCGCCATGCTCACATGTATTCGGCCGCTTGCACGGATCTATGTAGTTGCAATTGTCCAGCGCCACCTCGCCGACAACGCGCTCCGTTTTGACCACATGCCGCGGCTCAATCAGATGCCCATTGATCTCGATATCGCGAATGCAGCCCACCAGCCCCATTGCCGCCGACTTTAGGCTGCTGCCAATGATCAGCTTGTCCCCGATATTAAAGGTCAGCCCAAACATCTGGCTCAGCGTATGGCGATAGTCGACCGTAAATCGTATTTCGCCCTGCTTATAGTCCAGCTCGACGCTGTGCCAGGAGGTGGCGCGATTGATTTTAATGGTCGTCGAGTGGGTCACATTGTTGTTCACATCGGGCACCAGATCGAAGCTCAGCTTGTCTGAGCTTAAGCGTATCTGTGAGAGGGGGTTGTCGGTTGGCCATTGGCGGCAGCCATTTTGTAATTTCCGTTAGTTTTACATTTCCGGCGCAACGTTATCGACAGCCGTGCGTTTCGTTTCGGTTAGTTGTTGTTGCAGTTGTCAGCGACGGATGTTGCACGTTGTCCAGGTGCAAGACCCGGCATTAGCGTGTCGCCAAATATTAGTTTTGTCATCGCAATCGCAAACGCAGCACATGTTAAATACACAGAGAAAAAAAACCCTGTTAGCATTTGGAGTTCAAACTGGAAAATAAATCAAAATTGCCAAAATGCCCACAAAATACACACGCACATAACACACACTCCCGCACACACACACACCCACACACTCACACCCACACACTCCCGCACACATATTTCAATTTGGGAAATGCCTTTGTGCATTAGCGGCGCTCAAATCATATTACGCATACGGGCCTGTTAAATTGTTAGCCAACAACAAAATCAGTCAAAAGGGGGCGTGAATTAGAATTAATATAACGCCCGCTTTAGCTCTCCCTCACTCCCTTTCTTCCTCGCCACGCTGTTTATATGAATAGAGCCGTATAATTGTGCATAATTTATGTGTATATTGCTATATTTAAGCCCTGGCATTAAGAGTTTCAGCCATGTTTATAACTCTTCTAATAGCATTTTTGTAATTTCCGTTCAAATGGGTCAATTTGTGTTTATCTGTGCATCGCGTACGCTTCATCAATGTGCATATGAGTATGTTTGTGTGTGTGTTTGTGCACCATCCCAGCAATTTGAAATTAGACATTTTTGTATAAATTTAAGTTATTTTGAAATATTTAAATGTAACGCTGTTCTGAAGTGTAGAACGTGAAACGTATTTGCTGAATTTGGTGAAGTTATCTTGAAAATGGAAAATTTTTTCATTCGAAACGTATTTTTTAACGATTTTCTCTATAGAGATAAATGATAGAGTATTACAATTTCATTAGAACTTGCTTCATATAAAAGAAGCATAATTTAGCTTTTAAATGCCCGGGTTTTCCATTTTGATCGATTGTTACTATAGAAGGGTACGATATAGTATAGCGAACTTGATAAGATTAGCTTCACATATAAGAAGTATAGTTTGCCCTGTTTATTTTCATCTCATCATACCAAGTAGTCCTTATCTCTGTCTAACCCTTTGAGCTGCTTCCCAAAATGCCTCACTCACTTATCGAGTTGCAGATGAAAACCTCTTTTCTTTGATGTCACTAAACGTGTCAGTATTTGTTTGCCCATATCCCAAAGTAATACGACAGCTTTCATGTGTTGTTAAAAAAATAGTGCAAAATAAAAGAAGAATGGAATTAAATTTAACTTGTTTGTGTGCTCATATTGAAGACGTACGACCGACCCTCATGTGCGTGTTGCCCGGAATTGCACATATTCGTATTCGGTATTTATTTGCTTTTATTTACCCGCTGCTTATTGTGAATTGCACTTTTGCGCTGCGCCGCGCCGCGCAGTGCTGCTGTCGCGCTTATGCAAACTGCCAAACACTAAAATTTTATTGCATATTTCATTAGACTTTTGGCAGCATGTTATATTTTAAAGCAAATACCACACACATACACACACTCGCACATACACTGACAATATTTCCAATGGGTTTTGTAGCTTATGGCAAATGGGTAAAAGGGGTAGATTGTTTCGAGGGTAAATGTAGGTAAGAGGTTGAAGAGAGCTACTTCGAGCCTATAAAGATTATATAGATGCTTCGACAGGATAATCTGACACATTTCTGTAAAATTTGTTTTGGCTGACCGTTTGTTTGGAGAAATAGAAGAGCTACAGACTTGAAAATGGATATTTCAATTCTCCTATAAGACATGCAAGGCAAGTCTCCCTTAATTTTCGTAATATTAATAAAAATCGATAAGATATTTTACTTTTTTGATACCTCCCACATGCTCTCAAAACTTGAAAAGATCAATTTCCACTGGTGGAATTCTGCGATTTGGCATGTACACACTTTTAATGTTATTTTAAGCACTCAAGATAAAAGTGGTATAAAGACATAAAGATCGGATTATAAGCCATGTGGCCATTTCCTCTGCATCGTCTGGAAAAAAGGGAAGAAGAAGGACAGTAGGACAGACGTCTGTGTTTGTTTTTGTGTATAGAAAGAAGCTAGAATGTTTACAATGGCAGCTAGTTGCAGAGCATCTCTTTGCGAGCATGCCCTACTGAAACATACTCGCTTGTTATTTGTCACCTCGTTGTTGTTGCTGCTGTTGCTTTTGCTATTTGACTATTTCGACCATTTGCTGCGCGACTGTCAATAAATTCGATTTTCGATTTGTGATTCACGATTTGCGATTTGTGCGGGCGCAAAGTTTTTATACTATAGGCCCAGCTGTCCCGCTGTCAATTATACGAGCTGACATTTTGTGTTGCCTACTTTTTTGGGAGGAGGAGGGCCCCAGCAGAGAATTTATTAGTTTGCTAAACGCTGCGCAAATCGCAGGTGGTAATTTTGTGGCCAGTTCGACAAACAGTAAATAAATAAATAAATAAAATGAGCAGATGATGCGTTTTTCAGAAATGAAATATAGATAAGAAAAATGTTGTTGGATTTTCGTTGGAAAATGCCATATATATATATAAATATATATATATATTTGAGGCACAAACTGCAATTGCCAAATGTTGGGTTTTAACTATTCGTGTATATATATATATATATTATTAACATTTTCTGTTCATATGTGCAATCAATATCGTATTAATTTTGCGACCACACATAAATCGTTCGGCAATTTCAATAAGCCAAAAAGCCAAATGGAAAATTAAACGGCTTTCAAGCATAAATATTCATTGCTATTACAACATTTAACGAGATGGCCGGCAATTTGTTTTTCCACAAGCTTCGAATACCCTTGCCTCCCCCACATACTTCAGCCCCTGCCACTTTCTGGCCGTGAGGCATTTCTATTGACATTTGAGTTTATTTTCGGGGGACTTTGCAATCAAAAGCAAGAAAGTCAACAATAAAATGCAAATAAATATTGCAGATGCACACACACGCATACACATATATGCATTTATATTGTGTGTGTGTGTGTGTATGTGTGCTTGTGTTTTGTGTATATATTTATTCCCTTAGTGAATTTCCAAAATGTCAAGTAACCAAATAAACGTTCGAGGCCAGGACGTTTGTTTGTTTAAATATAGATAAATGCCATTGACATTTAAACAAACACATACACACACACACGCACACGCACACTTCAGTTGCATAATCAAGCATATACATGTTTATATATGTGTGGATATATGCATGTGTGTGTGTGTGTGGCAAGTAACTCTGAGCTGCTGAAGTGGGCATTTTGGGGGGACGTTGCCCGTTGCACATTGAGTGGGATTAAGCTGCTGAGGCCAGTTTCTGCGTCCAGCAATAAAGCACTTTTCAATGCAACGCATTCGTTGGCTTTGCGAAATTTCGATTGCGCAATCATAATAAATGCATCATATTTTTATTCAAATTGTTGCGTCAAAGTCATAAATCTATTCAGCAAGAAAACAGAAGAGCAGAAGTGACAAGCACATTTAATAGTAAGTGAAACAGGCAGGTTGAGGGAGAGACAGGGAGAGAGAGAAAGTGAGACAAAGAGAGAGAGGGAGAGAGAGAGAGAGAGAACGCGAAAGAGGCAAAGAGAGTCAAAGAGAAGCAAAATGACTGAGCTAATTTTTCTGTAAAGCTACTTGTATATTCTGACAATATTTATAAGAGTAGAAACTACTAGCTCAATTTGCTGTTTCGTTCATTCAATTGTTCATTTTCGAGTCATGAACCCACGTTGTTCAGTCGGTCATAAACTATACTCTCCACCTAGGAGTTGGTTTAGTTGACCATGAACGATTCCTTTTCTTCGGAAGAATTTGCTCTGCTCCGACTAATAACTGAACGAGTTAGTTATTGAAGGAATTTTCAAATCATAATATACTGTTCGTAATTTTCAAATCCTGCTGAATAATGAAAATTTAAAAAAATATGTGCAACAATTTTTTAAAAAGATTAAAGTCCAAAACGAAAAGTATAATTTAATAAAAAATACTGCAAAAAGACTGTGATCTCAAATGCATGATATTCGAAATAGGGACTTTCACAGCGTCGAAAGGGAGATAACCTGTTTGCAATTCTAGATACGACAGTGAAATCTAAACTCTAAATAGAGCTGGGAGGTTTTCGTATATTGTATTTGAAAGCTGAAAAATAAAATGTAAAGCAACTTTTTTTCTGCAGTCCTGCTAATTTTGCATATTATTCCCTTGGCAAAAGATATCTGATGCTTTTACTTTTTACATTTTATGCATTTCTCAGAGGAGAAACGGTTTTGTGGAATGTTGTTGCAGAAATTTTGCATGGTTTGCTTGTTCACACGCCCACGCACACACACAATCGAATTCACACACACGCACACACACACACAGACACACCCGACGTATGTACATTTGGTTTGCATTCCGCTTGGCCCCAAAACATCGTTTGCTAAGTCGTCTTAAGCACACGCTGCACATTGCTGTCGCTGTCGACGTAGACGTCAACATCAACTTGGTCCAGTTCACACACACACACACACACATATCTAAACACACACAGACACACACTCTGATGTGTGCATTTCATAAGCTGCCGAATATATGCTTGAATGCTTCAGCGCACACTTACCTCCCAGAAGCCATTTCCGGCGCTGGTCGTGACGTCACTGTAGGCCAGCACTGCGCCGGGTCGGCTGCTGCGGAAATCGAATTTAATATTAAATTCTTGGGCGTGATTTATGGGCCACCAAATGTGTGATGTCGCAAAGGGATAGGTGATGGGTATGACATTCACTTCGTTCTCAAAGAATTCAGCCTCCAGGACACCTGCAACGAGCGAATGTTAAACTTCAAATTCGAAGCTAAAAATGCAAAAAAAAGAACACTAGTACAAAATCACATTTTCGGTAAGCCGAAAATTAAATACACTTTCAGACATATATTAGTCTTTTTTTATATAAAATGCGGCCCATGGCACCTTGGTCTATTTCGGAAAATTGCTGTTAAAATTTAAACTGGCGACTTTCCGCGAGTTAATCCAAAGTCGTCGCATTCAGTCAAATATGTGTGATTATCAAACTTTAAGCAAATCATAAGCTACTTCAATTGCTACACACGACTACTTTCAAATGTCTGCTGGGCTTGAATCAGCGCCTTCCCGTTTGCTGGTTAGACGCTTAGATAGACAGTCATGTACTAAAGGCAGGCATGTCACAGACAAATCAAAACAGTTTTTTTTGTGTGTAGTTTGTCTGCGCTTAAATATTACATGTCTCACATAGATCCCCTCGCAACCCCTCCCTCAGCTTCGCCCTGACAATACTCACCATGATAGTGCACCTTGGGATTGCCACGCTGCAGCTCGTACAGTATGGAAATGTCATTGTAGTAGACATACTTGAGACTGCCCACGAAATTGTTATGCGAGATGAGGCCTTTCTTCTTGTTCAGCTCGGGTCCGCCGCCAAAATAGATTTCCGGATCGAACAACAGATTGCCGCTAGCCGTCGCCGGCAGCTCCAGGATCTTCTGCTGATGATCAAGTATAATTCGCACTGTCCGCTGCTCGTGCAGAATGGTCAGATTATGCCAGTAGCCGCGTGTGAGGTCATCCGTTAGCACCGTGGACATGACATTGTCGCCAAAGTCCATTTCCACGTGAATCGATTGATTCTTAATGGCAGCGGCAATATACTGATGCTTCAGCGATTCGCCGCTGGCATAGAACAGCGCCGAGTCATCGAAATTGGTGCGAAAAACAAGGCTGATGCGTATTGTCGAGGAGTGCACCCGATCCTTCCAGTCGTAGATGCGATACGAAACGTAGCTGGCGCCTCGTAGCGTGATGATTGTGGCAGCTAGAAGAAGGAGTAGGGGTTTTATTAGAGAGAGAAGAGAACCAGATTGGAGAGAATACGGGGTTTAATCCATAAGTGAAATTTTATTACAATTAAATTGAGATGTTTTGTTGCCCTGGAGATACCCCGCAGGCTGCAATGGCTAAGCTTAGAGAGTTAAGCATTATATCGAAGAATTTAGTGTGTCTTGCTTTTTTCTTTCTATCTTTTCTTCTTTCTTTCTTTGTTTTATTATCCCAGTTGTCCGATCTGGAGATGCCCGCAAGCTGCAAAGGCTGAGCTAATTAGCTTGGAGACTAAAATTATTTGTGAAAGATTGAGAACAATGTATTTCTATACACTTTAGATACCATATATATTATTCATTTATATATATGCTTCTCACACAAATCAAGCAACCTTTTTCCGGCCAAATTCAGGCGCAAATAAATTGCTTTCGGCACAAAACCCTTTAAAACTTTTGCACTCTCTCACTTAGTTCAGCTGTTGGCATATTTGCAGCTGGGCTGCTATTTGGCGAGCTCGCAGCTTACCGCAAAATCCAAGCAAATTTAAGCAACTTTTCGGTGATATTTTTCTTCTTTTTTTTTCGGCATTGTTCTTGCTGCATTATCTGCATGACACACACACAAAAACACATACACACACAGAAAAATTTCGAGTTGCGGCACGGAAATAGATTATATTGTTTGGACCATGACTGTGCTGGCCTCTAGGCGTTTATGCGCGGCTCTGCTTCTCCTCCCGCAGCCACACCACCTCCCGCAGCCACACCACCCCGAATCGCTCTTCAGTTCCGCGGCGAGTGCGAAAGTGCAAATCGTGTAGCGTGCTTTTATACCCTGCACCCAAAATTGACAGAAAGGGTATAAGGATTAGGAGAGAGCCCTGACCCCATAGATAAAATATATTCAACGGGACGAGCTGCTCATGCTCATAAATGGACATAACCATGTTTGTCTATATAAAATAAATAACTAGTTTATTCTTATCAATTCCCTGGTTCACTAATCCATTAATATTGATAAATATCGATTTATAGACATGGTTTTTTAGTCATAACTTGAAAATTATAACAGTTTTCTACACCAATCTCCGTAGGCAGGCTTGTATGTTATTTAGGATATGTATGTCAAGTATGTCATGTATGTTATGTATGCGATGTATGTTATGCTTTGTATGTTGTGTATGTATACAAAGAAGCTGAAATGTTTATAACGGCAGCTGAGTACAGGGTATCTCGTATTCGGACACACTACCTTCTAGGGTTCTCCGTTTTTTTGGGGTCGTTCGCACCGCTGTGTGACAGCAAAATGCTGTCCGCTTATCTGACACATATTCGCGCACACGCCCACGCCCACACACACACACGCACACACATACATAAACACACGTGAGAGGCGGGCACGCCCAGTCGATAACGCAATGCAGGCATACTTTATAATTTTTATGGTGGGAGTTTGTCGGAAATGTGTGCGCAGTGGCGCAGAAAAGTATGCTACAGATTTTGAAATCTCAGTGGACACTTTTCGGGGCCACAGGAGACGCCGCTGCCGCTGACGCTGCCACCATGATTGCTAAAGCAGTCCACATTTGACTACCTCAATGCACTTCCTGGGCTTGCCGGCTTTGGTGCCAAACTCCCGGCAGACCTCCAGCAGGCGCAAGCCCCTTAGCACCCGACCGAAAATAACCCGCTCGAGCGGCGTCACCGCCAACGTCTTAAAGCTAATCGTGTAGAGCAGTAGGCCGTGGGGGAAACGCTGGCGATGGTTCCAGGAGTACGATAGAATGCCCTTCAGCTGCCTGGCATCCAGCGGTGATGGATGATCGTGATGATCCTTGAGGGCGTCGCGTGATTGCGGCAACAGCTCGCCCTCCATCCACAGATCAGGAAAGATGCGCGGGAATTTGTGCGCCTCGACATTGTTGTCGATGGCCAGGCGTACAAATTCCAGCACCACCTCCGGACTGACCTCTGTGTAGAGCTGAATGCAGATGCGGCCCAGATGCTGGCCCCGACGCAGGGCCAGATCAAAGTAAATGATCGGACGCAGCAGCTCCTTCGGCGAGTGCACGGGCCGTTGGGGCAGTGGCGGGGGCATATATGCGCTATACTTGCGTACCAGATCATCGGTGGGATCGGACATAGTGACGGACAGTGATCTATGCCAGGGATTGTGCGAGTCCACCTTGGATTTGGCGCGCAACAGCCGGCAGCCTAGCCGATGATTCTCCCGGCTAATCACCGCGGCCTTCTCCATGATTCGGAGGTGACTCTGGATCGGTAATTGCAAGCTGCTGTTGTAGCAGTCAACGCGACCCTGCACTCGCTGGATCTCGTTCATGCGACGCAGCAGCAACATATTCTCGCGCAAAATATCTTGCTTGATCTCCAGGCCCCTGTTCATGTGCTTAAAGTCCATCAGGTTTGAGCGAGTTCCTGGTGCCAGTCGCGTATTAAGCGTCGACTTTATGTCCTTCAAGTTACTGCGGTCCAGTTTCCGCCGGTGCAGATCGATTAGACTATCGTAGACCCTAACCCGTCTGGTCTCAGCCGCCTGGCTGCTGCTGCTACCGTGCACAGCGCCCACCAGATGCTTGAACTCGCCGTAGGTGGGCCGTCGAACTTCGGGCAGATTGTTTTTTACTTGCTTGTTATGCCGGAGCAGATCGCTGGCCAATTGATGGGCACGCATCCGATTACTACGCGCCGTGGGCGCCCTCAAAGTGAACTCCGAATAGGTTATCGGGCGGAAGATTAATGTACTCATCCTTACAATTTGCGATATCAATTCAATTGGAAAGCAACAACACAAAAAGCAAAATGAACACAATTACGAATTGCTACAAAATGTTGACGCACAACTTTGGCCAACTTTGACCTGGCCCCGCACCCAATCTTGTGCATGCCGCAAAAAGCTCTTGGACTGACATTTGCTCTACGGATTTTCATGCCAGAATTGCCCAACTCAGTAGCTGAAACTGAGTTGTCAACATGCATTTAAAGGGTATCTCTTAAACAGAAATTGATACAGTTTCCGTGTTCTGTATAATAACGACATTTATAAACCTTGTACTGTGAAGGGCAGTATACTGGATTTGAGGAAGGCGTCTGCGATCTGATTAAGTATATATTTATATATATACATATATGCTTGCCAAGCATTTACAGTCGATTCGAGCTAGTCTTCTCTCCTTGTTATTCTGCCTCTACCAGCGTCTGCCCATATGCATTATATTCAAATCGATCTGACAAACAGTATTTTAGTTATTTTAAAATGAATTTTCCCAAGTGTCAAGTTGGGGCTAACAGAAGCACTGCTGCTGCAAGGCCTACTAAGCACAGCTCGGCATACATCTTCTCAAGTCGTAGCTAGTTATAGGGTATTTGCCAGTCGAGCCCTGCACACGCAGCTGTTAATCAGCTTTAAGCTCGTTACAGGCATTATTTCACAGTCTGCATTTTTGGTCGCTCTGCCAGCTGCCGAGCCTGACTGTCAGACGGCTGACAGCTGAACCAAAGTTGAGTTGAATGGCGACCACGTTTGACAGCCGGGCCGGGTCTGTGATGCCATACGGCTTATGCTGGACGTTGCCAAAAACCAGAGTACACTCGAAAGAAGAAAAAAATGGAAACAAAAATCTGGCAGTCTCTTGCAGAGAATTTCATGGCTGGGCTAATGATTTTCACGCCCGTCGCTGAGTGAAAGGGGGGTGGGGGAGGGGGGGGGGGGGTGGTAGACAGTTGTCGGTTGTCATTTTAGTTATTGCATTGCAGGAACCGAAACGTCTGCGTTTGATTATGTCGCACATTCATGTTTCTACCTACGAGGCAGCTGGGGTTCACGCTTTTAATGGCCCGACACACTGTTTCCGCTGCAGCAGCAAGTACAACCGAAATGTTGACAACTGCAACATGCAACTAACGACAACCGGGCCTGGGCCCAGGTTCATGCTCGCAGACAACATCTGTGCAATTTGCTAGCACTTGCCAGCCCTCCCACTTCCCGCTGTCTACTTGTAATTGTGATCAACTGTAAATGCTCGACAAACTCGCACGTCACGACGCCATTTGTCCTTGACAGACGCCATTTAGAGAGCGCATTTTCAAAATGGCTGCCGAATGCCGTTAGCCCGTGCCAGCAATTGTGCATTTTCCAGCTGTCCATTGCTTCAATTCGCGTTTTCATTAGTTTTTACTCTTTTTTGCAATACTCTGTTTTACCAAAATGAGATTGAGCATATTTGCTTGCCAGCTCGAGATTAACCTCTGGGCTTACAAAGTAAGCAGAGTTTCTATAGACCCGCCCCCGCACCACATACACAGTTTGAGAGTCAGCTGAACCTTGCAATTAAAATTTGGGAGTCCTCAATACTCTGTTTTCAGCTGCTATTAGCCTGTGAACAGAGTGTGCCGCAGACTTTTAAAACTTTCCCGATTGTTTTTTTGTATACATTCGCATGAATTTCCATATTCGTTTATTGTTCTTGCTTGTGTTGTTGTTCTGCAATGTTTGCATGCAAATTTCAGCTAAAATTTGAGACCGCAGCCGAGCAGCTTTTCTGTGATACTCTCTCATTCTGATCGAGCAATTTTTGAATATATACTAAATAAATCTCCTTAGCAGTTAATTGGTGCAACTTCAATTAAAGCACACTCTGGAATATCTTTCAGTTAGTTATGAGTATAAAGCTAATTAATAAAATTTGGTTTCATAAGAATTGTGTCTTATCTATTCATTGATGAGAGGCTAAGTTTAGGGTTCGCATCCCTGCATGAAATAAGTTTTTCTTTCAAACAAAAAGAGAAGAGCAGTCAACCCTGATTAGTTAAACCTGCGCAGTAAATAGTGCACTTCCTGAATAAACAAATAAAAAATAAACTCGTAAAACTGGGGGCTTCATTCAGGAAATTTTCATTAAATAACAGTGCAACAATTTGAATGCGTTTAGCTTAAATATATAGAGTATTTAAATAACTGCCCGGGCTCAACCTCTATAAGGTCTAGCAAAAAAAAATGTAACATAAACGAGCTGCTCAATTTTTAATGGCGTTGGCATTTTTAATGGGCTCGCGTGACTTAATTGGAATTATGGCGGCACGGAATTGGCTTTGTGTCATTAACTAAATGCCTGCCAAACTGCCGAGTGACAGCATAGGTGGCGGGGGGAGAGAGAGGGAGTGTTGGTAGTTCAGAGTGTGACAAAGGCCAGTTGGTATATTTGAAGCTCAACAAACTAATTTTGCGCACATTTTGCCCGGCAGTCAAAAAGTCAAACACTATTTTGCATAATTTATGGTCAGGTCATTAGCGTGTTTAGAACTCCTGCGGGCTGTCGGTTCTTTGGCAGTTCACCGGGGGGCGGAGCTGTCGGTTAACCGCAAGCAAACAAACATAGTTTATAATTAAAACAAAATGGCGCCGGCCTGGCCCCTATGCTTCATGCTGCCACAGTGTCTAGCCACAGACAGCCACATGCTCACTCAGAGAAAAAAGCCTGTGCGAAATTTATTTCGTTTCGTATTTCGTTTTTGCAGATATTCATTAATTGCATAAAAGACTCAGAGATGAATCAAAAACTTCGCATTGAATTTCGCATTTCTATTCGGTTTTTTAATAAGAATTAAATTTGCTTTGACTAAAGAAGCTTTTCAACGGTTGCAAAGTACACACAACCTGAGCCCTAATCTTCTTATTTATCTAAACATATATTCCAAAATTCGGATTTAGCTTAAGTCTACATCGATCCTATGGAAATAGTAACCCCTTCACTAGAATAATTCAAAAATAGAAACCAAAGCTTTCATTAAGTTTTAAAAACTCAGTGCCATAAACAATGCTCCTGGTTCCAACTTTTTTTTAATTTTTAGCTGTAGTTAGTTTTTCTCAGAGTGTCTAAGCTTTTACTTTGCATTTATCTAATCGTATTTTCTGGAAGCGGATTAGTCCGTATCCTAATAATGGAAATCGAAGCTGTTTGATAAACAAAAATGACTATGGAAGGTTTGAACTAGAATCAGGGATCACAGTACAAACTAATTTTAGATTCCTTAGTTAAAATAACTTTTTTTATAGTGTCTGAGCTGGTACTTACTGTAGATGTCACAGTGCTCGCCCTCGTAGTGGGTGCCAAAGCAATCGCAAGAGATGCCCGCGTAGTGGTTGATGCAGCGGGAGCCGACAAAGCACAAATTGTGCCGCGAATCGCACATGTCCGAGCATCCCTCGTTGACGTTTTCGTGCTTGGTCGCCACCAGTGGGGCGATTGGCAGCAGATCAGAGGCCGCCTTGCCAGAGCTCAGCACCACATTCCGAATGCAGCCGACAAACGATTCGGTGATATATTTGACGCCATGCAGCTTCTCCTCGGACGAGAGGCCTGTGTTTTTGAAAATTGGCATTAGAATCGGGTTTGAGTTTGGTTTGGGTTTGGGTTTTGGTGGAGGGCTTAATAGTTGGTCAACATTTGGAAACACACACAAGCACAGCAACACACACACACACACACACACACACACACACAGAGATCCGAAAAAAGATTAATTAACAAAAGAGTTATATTTGCAAGCGGATTTAAGTTCGTCTGGCCAAAATGTATATGTTGTGAAAACATTTTGTTTACAGCTCGAAAGTTCTGATAGGTTCGCACAGGCGGCGCTTTAAATATTGTTTAATTAAAAAAGTTGTCTACGGCCAAATGAGGCCATGTTTTCACAGTATTTATGTTTAGTCTATTGCACAATGGGCAATATTTAGAGTTTAAGTGGTAAAACCCGATTTTCAAATATTCTTGCTATAAAACTGCAAGCATTTATAGAATCTGTTACTTAGCATACATAACTCAATCATGTAAAGTTAGATGGTGTTAAAAATAGCTCATTTGCAGAAAAATCTCTTCTGTTAACCTGCAGTCATTTTATTTAAGATGATTTGAATTAAATCGAATAAAATCTGAAGTAAAGGATTCTCACGCATGAATATCAACATATATTAGATATATTTTCCTAAAACTCTCGTGAATGCCCCTAGTGCATGGGCATAAACTCGTTAGCAAACTGCTTAGATTTAATTTCATGGAAATTGTTTCAAAATTTTAAGCCCTAAATCTGCTTAAAAACCTATTTGTTTATGTGTTTAAATTAAACTCAACTCAAATGGACTTTTATCTAATCGATATTATATATTTGATATTTCTTTTGTGAAGCCTGCCAAAAAATTTTTGAAACATTTCTTTCCCAAACATGTTCAATTGTTAAAGCGCAGACTACGTTGCGTCGCCACCCTCCCCCCCTCCCCTTTAATCCTCTTTACCCCTTTCTTGTCATATACTGAAATCAATGGCGCATTGTATGTGCACTTCATGAGTTCGTCATGCGTTTTCCGTACGGCTGTTCAGCTTTTGGGAACGTCAAATAATTAAATTTTCGCATGGCACACAAAAGCAGCTTTCAAAGTCACACACACACACACACACACACACACACACACACACACACACACACACACACACACACACCGCACCTGCAAAATGCACACTAAATTCAATAGCAAATGAGCATGTGCAGCTGTATGTGCGCGAGTGTGCGTGTGTGTCTGTGTGTGCCAAATTCGATTTGCAATTTTCATTTTTCTGTTTTCGATTTGCCGTATCAAAACTTTTTGTCTGATGCTCTTGAAGAGGGTATTTAAACTATGTTAAAAAAGCGCTCTGCGATTTGAAGGAGAGTTTGTGATTCAATAAATTATATATATGGCTGATCTGCATTAGAAGTAGTGTCTTTATAGCCAGAACCTAAGACTTTAGAAATTTAAAGCCATCTTTATCGAGCCTAGCATTGATCTGGCTAATTATTTCAGGCAGGTCATATATCGGAATAGATAGGATCCAACTACTATAAGTTCTTGTTCCTGGTTAAAAATCTCGTGATCGAACTCCGCATTTACTTGTGTTACAATGCATCGTATGAGCATCGAACTACTATATCATATCATATCATAGATCTATATGAAAAATCGGTCGAGATAGGACGTTTGTATGACAAAGCTTTCTGTTTCGTAAAATAACTAGAGTGTAGAAGTATTTCTATATTACATGTTATAAGTACAACTCATTAGTCGGAAATTAGAACTTCACTTAAATAAATTTCTCGACCACATGTCTGCTAGGGTATTTATTCGTCGGCACTTTGACAACTTGTTTCATCTTGTTTTTATTTGTTTTTTAAGTCTTATGTAGCGATTGTTTGTTGCACTTGCCGCAAATTCGTTGCATATATTCAGGCGTCGGCTTTAAAAGGTGGCAGGCTATAGCGAGCGGGATTTGCAGGCAAACACACACACCCAGACACACAAACACACACGCACACACCTTTACGCACACAATTGATTTGGCACTCACCTCCGACCAGGACCACCGATGGCAGATTCGTGGAGACGCCGTAGTTGTACTCGTGATTCAGACCTTTCAGATAGACCTCCTCCTGACTATTGTCGACGCGTGCAATTAATCTTGCCCCATGGACATCGATGCGCACCTGTGCAACAGCCGCGACAGCACACAAAAGAGAGCGAGCAAGAGAGAGGGAAAGAGAGAGCGATAAAGAGAGAGAGAAAGGAAGAGATATAGATATATATGGAGTGGGAGTTGGATGTGAAAGATATGGAGCATAAAACCAATAAACCAGCTCGCTGGCTGGCTGGTTGTTCCTGCTGCTCCTGCTGCTGCTTGTGGGCGTGGCAATCGCCGACGCGCACACTCACACACACAAACACAGACAAATGATAAAAATTTATGAATTTATGCGTTTTGCCCCAGAGTTGAAGTTGCAAGCGCTGGGCGATAAATTGTTGTTGCTGCCCGTATTGTTATACCCAGAACCCGTTTGTTAAAGGGGTATAATGCGGTGATATATATGTGTTCTTGAACAATAATGAAAGAACAGGCGATCTAGCCGTGTGGATCTTTGGTTCTTTGGGAGCTGAAGAGGTGACATTTTAAACGTAGCTTCTCCCATTGCCCGGGACGAACAAATTTGCTTTAAAGTCTGGTAACTTATTTCGTTTCAATCAATACAAATCTTTATAGAAATTCTGTTCTTTTGAGGATATCTCGAAGCTAGAGACAATTGTTTTGGTCTCGGTAAGTTCTCAGATATTGCAGGCAGATTTGAAAGTTTAAAACCGACTCCCGTTTCTCCAAAAATTCTATTTCTTAGGCTTTGCAGTTTTGTTTTTTGATTATTTATATGTCGATTGATTCTAAGGGCAGCTTCTACAGGGCATCTGCTGGTCGAGCCCTCCCCATTTGCGCACTCATGTTGTTCTTGTTGTTGCTTGTGGTGCATGAAAAATCTACGAAAATGAATTGCAACTGCTGTGTGCACATTGCAGGGATCAGCTGAAATTCATTAGGAATTTGCGTGTTATTTATGAGCGAGTGTGTGTGTGTGTGCCAGCATCTGCATGGGTGTGATTAGTAGTGGATATGTTAGTTTTAAATATGAAAACACGCAACGATCTAAATGGCTACTGCTGCTGCTGATGATGATGCCGGTTATTGATGATGATGCTGTTGCCCGACCATGCTCGGTCCTTAACATTCACTGGCCACGTCCGTATGTAGGTGAGTTAACAAAGTTGAGCGTTCATAAATCAACTGGCTTGCTTTGTTATAAAACTTTGATAAAGCGTTTTACGCCAACAAAACTGGCAGCAACAAGAACAACAACACATGCATTGCAATCTTGCTAATTGCTAAATGAACGTATGTACATGTAAATATGTAGAATATATCCAAGTGACTAGTCCAAACACTCTAATAGGGGCATCAATAAACAATTTAAATGTGGTATTAAATTAGAGACATTTTTTAAGTGGATTCAAAGCCCTGTGCTGTCAAAGCCTTCCGTTTGAGCGGGTATAACTCAAGTCAAATTTGTTGCACCTCGAGCTGTAAGAGTTTGCGACTCAATCGAACAAATAAGCTCGAGCTAGATCGATTATGCTCAAACTAATCGTGCATACATGTATTGTCTAACATTAACATAGCAGCTAACATTAACGTCTCTCGAACATCTAGCACATTTGAACAAAAGTTCGAGTCGGTTTTCGCTTAAATCGATTGAGTATGCGAGATTAAGCCAAGTGAATTAATAGGGGCGGGGCTTCAATTTAAATTCTCTTTTCAATATGCAGTGCAGTGCATCTTCTTGATTTCTCGGGGAGGCTGTAATATGGCAAGGAACTCTACAGTCTTGTCGACGGATCGAACTCTATATTAGTCCCAGTAGCAGGCACTGCCTGACAAACTAGAAGGCATAGCTAATATGTCCGCTAGAGCACAAATTACAACTGCAGCAATTACAATACCAACGCCGAGCTGTTAAAACTTCAACTGGGAGAAGGGTACAACTTAAAAACCAGGCAATTCTCAACAGTTGCAGCCAAAGTCAAAGGCAAAGGCAAAGGCAAAGACTGAAACTTAAACTGGAAACTGCAGCTGGAGCTGATAACCAGACTGGCATTCAGTTCCGAGAAGCTTGTGCTACTCACCATTACACTGTGCCATTCATCTCGATTTAGACTCTCGCCCACGGTGACACTCGTTGAATGCTTGCCAAAGACATGTACAACCTTTAGCTGACCCTTCTCGACAATCACATAGAGTGCATAGGGGTCCAAATTAATGCGATCCGGATTCTTAACGTTGTGATAGACGAGCAGGCCGTGCGGCAGTCGTGTGCGAAATTGAAATGAAATCTCACGGCAAAGTCTGTGAATTAGAGAGAGAAGGAGACAGAGTGAGAATTAAAGTGAGACAGAAATAGTTTACATGCAGCCGGGCGCCTGACAGACTTTTAAATTTATATGCTCTGAGCTCTTGACTGTCTGCTGGCGACAACATGAGTTACAATTAAAACTACAGCCCAAATTGCCAGCACGGACCAAGGAGGCAACAACAACAACAACTACAGTGATAACAACTTTTGTGCAACAACAAAAATTGTTTTGAATTTTATTTGACTCGGACACAAGTCGAAATGTCTTGCAGTGTGTGTGTGTGTGTGTATGGCCTTTATTTAAATATTATTTTTATTTTGATCTTAATTTAATATGCAAATGGTAAATGTTTGCACAAATTGAATTTGCAGCACAAACTTGTCCCTGCTGTCAACTCGGCCAAAGGTCCTGCAAATCTCTGGCATTCCCGGACGCCAGCACTAAAACGCTTAATTGCCAAAACATTTAAGGCAAAAATATGTTAAAGCTGCGTCCTGTTTACTAATTGCACCTGCACAACACATCAGATGCAAGTATTTAACCCACTTTGAGTTGGGCAAAGCTTTTAAGATTAACAAGCACGAAGTCTTACAGACAAGTCGTGTCGTGCATGAGAAACCCGACTCGACACGACTCAACAAAATTGAACACGACTCGAACAAAAAAAGATGTTCAATACAATGGAAAATGTATTTCTCTTCTTTCTCGAATGAAGCCACACATTTTTAGATTTCTGATAAATGTTTAGAGCTTTCCATGCTCATGGGCGGAAAATATTTTTTAGTTTTTTTATACTTTCAACTGTTCACATAAATTTCTGGCTATTCCTTACTGAGGATACATTCTTCCTAGAAAAGAGGGGCTGTTTGTCTAACGGAAACTCTGCTGATTGCAATTTTCTTTTCTATGGGTTCGATTTTAAGGTTGAAAAACATTAAAATTTCTATAATATATGAAACTTAAAAACTTGTCTATAATTTAGAAAACTGGCTAATTCAATATAATTTGCGTAAATTTTGAGCACACAGTTTTGCTTGAGTGTATAGTTCAATGAGACTGTGTCTGAATATGCTACAAAATTGTTGGTTAACTTTTCTACTTTGAGAAGCGTAAAAGAAAGGCAGAGAAGAGCCAAAACAAACCCTTAGCTTTGGGCAAAATTGTTGGCTTTCTGGTGTTAAGGTACATCAAACACATTTTGAGCTGAAAGGCCAACAATCTGGCAAATGACGCGCGATTCGCGGTTCTCTCGCGGGCCATGAAATATGCAAAAGACTTCAAAAATGCCGCACAACGAAATTGAGGTAAGTGTGCCGAGCAAGCCGTCAATATTCCGGACGGACGAGGGCCCGGACTCGAGCTGGACTTCAGCTGGACGCCTGAGCGCTGGCCCGCCCACTCACCTTAATTGAAATGTCTGTATGATGTCGCCGTCCATTTGGATGAACGTGTTGTTTTTGGCAAACACGAAGGTCTTGTCCTGACCCGTTTCCGCAAACGTCAACTCCGGGCCGCGCTGCTCGATGGGCACGGGCGTCGTGCCGCCCCCATGCCCGCCATAGCCGACCGGCGTCTGGGCGGGACTTTGCGTGTAGCTGGCCAGCGAGGATTCTGTGGTGCTCGGCTCTCGCGTGGTTGACAGCAGGAAAGGTGGCAAGGTGTCTGCGCCAGCACAAAATATTTGAGTGACAGCAAGAGGGTTCAGGGGGGATTAGGTAATTCGCTTACGTGGTCCGCCAATGCAGTGGAACAGGCACTCGGCCTCGGTGCTGAAACGGTTCTGGGGATTTCCATCGCAGCCACCCCAAATGAATGTTGTGCACTCGCTGGTCGTCGGCTCGTAGCGCCATTTGTATATGTATTGCTTGCACGGACCAGGATCACCCGGTCCGGTGCATTTGTCGTACAGCTTCTCCTTGGGTGCCTGCATTAGCGCCGAATTGTTGCCGCTGCTGCCGCCGCTGCTGCCGGTGCTGCCGCCCGCATTGGCGCCCAGCGAGCCGCCGCCACCGCCGCTGTTGCTGATCGGTTCGCTGTTGGACTGGGCGCCGGCACCAGCACCACCTGGCTGGCTGGCACCACCTGGCAGGCTGCTGCTGCCGCTGCCATTGCCAGCGGCGCTTAGGCCAGAGCCGAGTGCCGGCAAATTGACCATGCCTGCGACATTTCCATCAGCCAAGCCGCCAACCAAGGTGCCATTCACAGACAAGCTCAGAGGCGACACGGGGCGTAGCTTGGCTAGGAGGAGCAGCAGCAGAAGAGCCAGCAATTGTGGCATTTGCAGTTTCATGTCGCTGTTGCGTGGGTTGCTGTTGACTGCAAGGAAATGGCAAAACTATTGAAAACTTGTAGACTGTGTTATGGATAAACGTTTTCTTTGAAAAGTGAAAAACCTAAGCTAAGAAATGGAATTGTCTGAACAGAGCGTAAATTAGTTTTGGCAAAGTCTAGCCTTTGTGCTGATGGAGGCACATTTAATTCCATAAAATAAACATATATTTCTGTATAAAAGAGTTTTGAAGAAGACATCAAATAAATATGTAATTATGTCTAAAAAAGTTTGTATAAGAACTACAATGAAAGTTGAAATTCTTACCGAAGCTTCCTCTTATGTGCAAAGTGTGCACTTAAATGTGATTTTTCGAGGTTCCAAGTAAAACGGCAGAGCGCAGTTATAAAAGTGAACCTGCTTGTTTCAGATTTATGTGCGTCGAACTGATTAGCGGGTAATCGCTGGTTCTAATCCAGAAATCCATACAGTCATGTCCACTTATTCGTTCGCTTCTTCACAACTGATTTTTAAGACTATTTTAATGAGCCTTCTGTTTACGGCTATACATTGCAGAAGCTCAAATTAAACAAAAAAAAAAACTAAGTCTGATAAATATCGGATTAGTTCAATATTTTATAGTTCTATAGAAAAAATCAGTTATTTGAAGAACTAATAACTGAGATAGGCATAATCGTTCAGGAAGTAAGTTCTTGTTTGTATAACTGAATTCATTGAATATCGGCCTATTATTTTCCATAGTTATATAGGAAAGTTTGGTTCTTCAAGTTTCCGTCAAGATCACTAGACGGCCAGACATATTTAATATACCTGCTTTCTTTTGCCGCACCTTGTGCGTTTCATTAGTTTCATTTTTACTGCGCAGCCCCATTAAGTATGCTATACAAAAAATGCTGCCGCTGTCTGTGCCACGCCCACTCCACCTCTTCACGTTTCTTATGCTCATTAGATTTGTGGTAATTGTACTATAAATTCACTGGGGCAATTTACGGGCTCGTCACAGCAACCGCACAAAGAAGCTATCACAGCTTATGATTTCAGCTACTTGTTACCAGCAATGTCTTGGCCTGGGTGTGTGTGCGTGTGTGTGTGTGTGTGTGTGTGTGTGTGTGTGTGTGTTTGTGTGTGTGTGTGTGTGTGTGTGCTGAGCAGTTTACTATTGTCATGGCGCACTATAAATCCCATTTACATCATCATGCTCATCATCATCAGTCAATGTCTGGCTGGGAAAATGAAGCGACGTTGCATTTCTTGCTGGCATTTAACGAAAACGAACTTTTGTGCTTACACTTCCGCCGGAAATGTGACAAGACACACACACACAGACAGAGAGAAAGGGGCACACACACACATCAGCTGCTGTGAAGATGCGTGAGCTTAAGCCTTAGCTTGAGCTGATTTACAAGTAGCTTATCGTCGTGGAAAAAACTGTCAAAAATCTAAAAATAATGATGCGCCTCGACTTTGAACTAAATGCTGCCAAAATGGGGCGTGGGTGTGGGCGGGGCTGCTAAACGTCAAAGGGAAATGGTGTAAAAAAGGGAAATTAAGTTTCTTTTTGCCACCCAAAAACTTTGTGAGTTTTGCATAACGATCAAAATGGACGTGGATGTTAGCTTTGGCCTGCCAATGTTCCTTGAACCTACCCCCAAGCGCTTTGTTCCCGACTAGAGATGGGCATGGAGCGAGTTTTGATGCGTGACACGATGTGTCCGTCTAGAGTCAGGCTGCAGTGGAAACAAATATTAGCTGAAACATTAACTTAAATCTAGTTGATAGTTCACAGGTTTCAGCCAAAAACTTTAAGGATGACTTTAACGAGTTTACGCAAACCTGCCTCCATTTCCTTTTCATAAGCAATTTTTAATTGCGGCTTTGGCTGGCCGGTCAAAAAAAAAAAACACAGCCACGTCGAGCGGGATGAAAAATGAGCAGGGCCAAAGTTCATGCAAATTAATAAACCTCAGAGTGGAAGAACGAACAAGTGAAAGGGCGAGAGAGAGGGCGATGCTCGTCAAGTGTGCGTGGTCATGTCGTCGTTGCGTCGCTGGCCAAGTTATTGATGCCAGCCACTCGCAGGTTTACCCCAACAATTTCCAATGCATGCTTGCGAAAAAGTTGGGCTGATGATTTGGGTCGACCAAGCGGAAAAAGTTTGCCTAGTTTTTGGTTTCCCGCCCATGCTCAAAGGGCAGGCCTCTCATGCATATGCGGCATTTGCCTAAAGTGCACAAATGCCACAACACGTAGCCGTTACGCGAAAGATAACAGCCGCTACCTGTGTGACGGCTCCCTACCGACCAGACGATAAGCCAACTGCAGCGGCAGGTGCAGCAGGTAAGGGCACCCCAAAGAATTGGACATGAAATATCACGGGCGCGCTTTTGGGGCAGCCAGGTAAAGGGTTCAACCCACAGGCACCTGAACCGGGCATAGCATTAGCATCAGGTCAAATCTGCAAGCATATATAAGGGGCACGTCGCGAGGGAATCCTCACACATTCACCACACGATCGTCATGGAAACAACAACTGCAAAGACCGCCTACGCTCTGTTCCTGCACCGCGCCGAGCTGCATCGTCGCCGCACACACTTTGCCAAGGTGTCACAGACGAAGATACAACTAACTAATCAACTGATTGCCAAGGTGAAGCAGCGCATGGACACCTGCAGCTACGAGGATCTACAGACCTTGGTGCGAGAGCAGCAGTTCAAGCGTTTGCTCGAGAAGAAGCTCAAGCATCGGGCCAAGCAGCTCAAGGCCTTGGTCAAACAGAACCGCAAGCTGAAAAGACTCCAGTAGAATAGTGAACCGGGAACAGACTAGATGGCACTGAATCATAGAATCAGTACTTAGTTCAATTAAATACTCATTTATTGCCTTTATAAAGGCAGAGAAATTCAATTTCTTATGATCGGCAAAGTTAGCTCATGTTAGCTATCTGACGATCTTTTCAATGCAATGGAAATCATAATTATTTATACTTATTTTCTACTTCTAATAAATTTCTACGATTTTTAAATTTAAAAAAAGTATGGTTTCTTATGGAATGATATAGCTTAGATCTCGAACCCAAAGCATTATAAAGCTTCAGTTAAGTTAACAAAAGGCAACAAGCTGTTTCCAACAAGTCGTTAATGAGAGAACGATTGTTCTAGCTCTAGCTATATGATCTAGTATTCCGCACTAATATTTGCAGCTAGGCGAGAAGTGTAACTATGAGAAGTGAACCTATGCCAACGAGCCGACTTCACAAAGAGGATGCTGGTTCGAATGGAAGGAATGAGCAGAATGATTACCCATTCCACTTGCTCTAGTATTGCAAAAATTGTTTTAAATCTCATAATAATGTGATCGAAAAATCGGATGAGTTTTGATCAAAATCTATATACGAATCTTGGGCTAAGATTTTGATATGAATTACGACTAAAAAATCGTTGTTCAGATTTGAATGCCAGATTAATATAGAGGTAAATCCATGAAGAAAAAGCCCAACATCAGGAAAATCGGATGAGATTTGACCGAGTTATGGGGGTGGGGAATTCTGACCCATGTCTACATACGAATCTTGGGGTAAGATTTTGACATGAATTTCGACAAAAAAATCGTTGTTCAGATTTGAATGCCAGATTAATATAGAGGGAAATCCATGAAGAAAAAGACAAACCTCATGAAAATCGGATGAGATTTGACCGATTTATGTGGGTGGGGAATTTTTACCCATGTCTACATACGAATCTTAGGGTAGGATTTTGACATGAATTTCGACAAAAAAATCGTTGTTCAGATTTGAATGCCAGATTAATATAGAGGGAAATCCATGAAGAAAAAGATAAACCTCATGAAAATCGGATGAGATTTGACCGAGTTATGGGGGTGGGAAATTTTGACCCATGTCTATATACGAATCGTGGGGTAAGATTCTGACATGAAATTCGACAAAAAAATCGTTGTTCAGATTTGAATGCCAGATTAATATAGAGGGAAATCCATGAAGAAAAATACAAGCCTCATGAAAATCGGATGAGATTTCACCGAGTTTAGGGGGTGGGAAATTTTGACCAATGTCTATATACGAATCGTGGGGTAAAATTTTGACATGAATTTCGACAAAAAAATCGTTGTTCAGATTTGAATGCCAGATAAATATAGAGGGAAATCCATGAAGAAAAAGACAAACCTTATGAAAATCGGATGAGATTTGACCGATTTATGGGGGTTGGGAATTTTCACCCATACGAATATAGACGAATCTAAGATTTTGACATGAATTTCGACAAAAAAAATCGTTGTTCAGATTTGAATGCCAGATTAATGTAGAGGGAAATCCATGAAGCAAAAGACAAACCTCATGAAAATCGAATGAGATTTGCCCGAGTTATAGAGGTGGGAAACTTTGACCCATGTCTCTATACGAATCTTGGGGTAAGATTTTGACATGAATTTCGACAAAAATTCGTTGTTCAGATTTGAATGCCAGATTAATATAGAGGGAAATCCATGAAGAAAAAGATAAGCCTCATGAAAATCGGATGAGATTTGACCGAGTTATGGGGGTGGGAAATTTTGACCCATGTGTCTATACGAATCTTGGGTAAGATTTTGACATGAATTTCGACAAACAAATCGTTATTCAGATTTGAATGCCAGATTAATATAGAGAGAAATCCATGAAGAAAAAGACAAACCTCATGAAAATCGGATGAGATTTGACCGAGTTATGGGGGTGGGAAATTTTGACCCATGTCTATATACGAATCATGGGGTAAGATTTTGACATGAATTTCGACAAAAAAAATCGTTGTTCAGATTTGAATGCCAGATTAATATAGAGGGAAATCCACGAAGAAAAAGATAAACCTCATGAAAATCGGATGAGATTTGACCGAGTTATTGGGGTGGGAAATTTTGACCCATGTCTATATACGAATCGTGGGGTAAAATTTTGACATGAATTTCGACAAAAAAATCGTTGTTCAGATTTGAATGCCAGATAAATATAGAGGGAAATCCATGAAGAAAAAGACAAACCTCATGAAAATCGGAAGAGATTTGACAGATTTATGGGGGTTGGGAATTTTCACCCATACGAATATATACGAATCTTGGGTTAAGATTTTGACATGAATTTCGACAAAAAAATCGTTGTTCAGATTTGAATGCCAGATTAATGTAGAGGAAAATCCATAAGCAAAAGACAAACCTCATGAAAATCGAATGAGAGTTGCCCGAGTTATAGAGGTGGGAAATTTTGACCCATGTCTATATACAAATCTTGGGGAAAGATTTTGACATGAATTTCGACAAAAAAATCGTTGTTCAGATTTGAATGCCAGATTAATGTAGAGGGAAATCCATGAAGAAAAAGATAAGCCTCATGAAAATCGGATGAGATTTGACCGAGTTATGGGGGTGGGAAATTTTGAACCATGTCTATATACGAATCTTGGGATAAGATTTTGACATGAATTTCTACAAAAAAATCGTTGTTCAGATTTGAATGCCAGATTAATGTAGAGGGAAATCCATGAAGAAAAAGATAAACCTCATGAAAATCGGATGAGACTTGACCGAGTTATGGGGGTGGGAAATTTTGAACCATGTCTATATACGAATCTTGGGGTAAGATTTTGACATGAATTTCGACAAAAAAGTCGTTGTTCCGATTAGAATGCCAGATAAATATAAAGGGGAAATCCATGAAGAAAAAGACAAACCTCATGAAAATCGGAAGAGATTTGACCGATTTATGTGGGTTGGGAATTTTCACCCATACGAATATATACGAATCTTGGGTTAAGATTTTGACATGAATTTCGACAAAAAAATCGTTGTTCAGATTTGAATGCCAGATTAATGTAGAGGGAAATCCATGAAGCAAAAGACAAACCTCATGAAAATCGAATGAGATTTGCCCGAGTTATAGAGGTGGGAAATTTTGACCCATGTCTATATACAAATCTTGGGGAAAGATTTTGACATGAATTTCGACAAAAAAATCGTTGTTCAGATTTGAATGCCAGATTAATATTGAGAGAAATCCATGAAGAAAAAGACAAACCTCATGAAAATCGGATGAGATTTGACCGAGTTATGGGGGTGGGAAATTTTGACCCATGTCTATATACGAATCATGGGGTAAGATTATGACATGAATTTCGACAAAAAAAATCGTTGTTCAGATTTGAATGCCAGATTAATATAGAGGGAAATCCACGAAGAAAAAGACAAACCTCATGAAAATCGGATGAGATTTGACCGAGTTATGGGGGTGGGAAATTTTGACCTTTGTCTCTTCACGAATCTTGGGGTAAGATTTGGACATGAATTTCGACAAAAAAATCGTTGTTCAGATTTGAATGCCAGATAAGTAAAGAGGGAAATCCATGAAGAAAAAGACAAACCTCATGAAAATCGGATGAGATTTGACCGAGTTATGGAGGTGGGATATGTTGACTAAAAAGTGGCAAGCACCCCTCAAGCAAATTTGAATCAATTTTCAATTTCATTGAAATGATAGTTTACAATTTCGTATGTGTTATTATATTATTTTGTTTTCACAGATCGATCCTAAATTTTTTCCGTTGTAAGAAACCATACATTTTTAAATTTTTGAAATCGTAGAAATTTATTAGAAAGTGAAAATACTTAATACTTAAAATAATTATAAAAAATGTACTAAATGATTTTCTTTGCATGGCAATGATCGTCATAGCTAATATGCCCGTTAAATGCTAACTTTGTTGATTTTATCATAAATTGAATTTTTTGCCTTTTTAAAGGCAAAGTAATGACTGCAATGATTCTATGATTCATTGCTGTCCAGTCTCTATCTAGTGCAAAGTCCAAAATTCTCTACTGGAGTCTCTTCAGCTTGCGGTTCTGTTTGACCAGGGCCTTGAGCTGCTTGGCCCGATGCTGGAGCTTCTTCTCGAGCAAACGCTTGAACTGCTGCTCTCGCACCAAGGTCTGTAGATCCTCGTAGCTGCAGGAGTCCATGCGCTGCTTCACCTTGGCAATCAGCTGATTAGTAAGTTGTATCTTCGTCTGTGACACCTTGGCAAAGTGTGTGCGGCGACGATGCAGCTCGGCGCGGTGCAGGAACAGAGCGTAGGCGGTCTTTGCAGTTGTTGCTTCCATGACGATCGTGTGGTGAATGTGTGAAGATTCCCTCGCGACGTGCCCCTTATATATGCTTGCAGTTTTGACCTGATGCAAATGCTATGCCCGGTTCAGGTGCCTGTGGGACGAACCCTTTACCTGCCTTAAAGCGCGCCCGTGATACTTCGTGGTCAATTCTTTGGGGTGCGTTTACCTGCTGCACTTGCTGCTGCAGTTGGCTTATCGTCTGGTCATAAGAGTTCCCTTGCACCGGTAGGTAAGACTATGCTTTGGTTTTGCTACATTTCCTTTATTATATTTCACAAGTAGTTATAGCTACGGACCGTTTAAAAAGCCGTGCAACAATTCTTGAAATTGCAATGCAGAAAACAAGCATAGTCCTGGAATTCGAACTAGCACCACTTTTTACCACTTTTACAGTTCTGCCATAGATCCAAATATGGTCACTATATCATATAACTATATAGGATATTAGCGGGTATATATCCCGGCTTTTCTCATAGTATGTATACACTGAATTTTCTTAAAGATCTTTAAACAAGAGTTTGAAACCAAAATTTTGGACCAAAACATATGTAGTCAGATTTAAATGCAAGATTAAAAGAAAACCATGAACAAAAATCCAAACCTTTTAAAAAATCGGATAAGATTTGACCGATTTATGGGAATGGGAAATTAATTTAGATTATTTAGTGAAAAATGTGAAATACGCCCCAAATGTTTTTTTTTTTTTATAGATTCTTGGAAATTAATTTGAGTGTTCCCGTCAAATCTGTGACCGCCATTTCCACCAAGGTAGCACTAATATGACAACAGTGGAAGTTGATCACTAAACAGTCAGTCATTCATTCAGTCAGTCAGTCTCTCATGACAAACAGTTTTGTATATAGAGATATATATATTCTAATATTAAACGAAGTTTGTGGTCGCAAAACTTTACCCTTTCGTTTTTCCATTTCCACTGACTACGAAAAACGTTTTAAATTATGCGCGTGTGTGTCTCACAACACACACACAACAACAACAACTACTGTAATAACAGCTATAACAACAGAAACAGCACGCGGGCCCCGCCCACCGCTAAATTGCACGTTTTAAGGCAGGCGCTGACGCCTTTGCGTGGGAAAAAAACCGCGCGGAAAAGTCGTGCAATATGTTGGGAGGGTGTACGAGAAAGTGGAGCGGCGGGGAGGGGGGGGGTGTATTGCAAAGTGTTGTAGGAGAAAAGGCAAAGGAAAACGAAGCGCAAAGGCGAAGGCGAACAAATGAAAGCAAGTGAAGTCAAATTAAATTAAATGACAGATGTCTGACATTTTGCTAGTGAATGTGTGTGTATGAGCGTGTATTTGTGTGTGAATGTAATATAAACACATGCAAATAAGACACGCACACACACACACAACAAACGCCTTGGTGTCGGGCAAAATGCACATGCACTTGCCCTCCAACTGGGCGCAAGGAGCGTGGCCTGGCATTATGTTTCTGCCGTTGTTGTTGTTGCTGTTGTGCATGTCTCCAAAGTGTTGCCCGCGTAAGCGTAATGAATTAAAATAACTTGATTGCTTGAAATTGAACGAATTGTTGTGGAGGAGCAGCACGAAGCAAAGACTCTCGCTTGGCTCTGACATCTCTAAGGGAAATTGCAGCTACGCTTTGCTGTCTGTGTGTGTGCATAAATATTTACTGAAATTTGTATATTAAGTGACGTTGAAAGCGGCGCCAGTTGTTGTTAGCAAATGGCATCAGCAGCGTGAAGTCATGCAACACACTCACACACACACACACATACAACCCATATGTGCGAGTGTGTGCGCGCTATAATAGAAGTCACGCTGCATGAATGAACGCATAAAAAGCGAGGCTAGCTGTGTGGGAGTCTGAAGAGGGCAGTGGGGTTTGCCGGCAAGACATACGAGCTGATCGCTGCAGGCATTTCGTTTACATACAACGTTAGGCATTAATATGGAGCAACAGTGTGTATTGCCTAAGGTGGATTTTTAGCAGTGTGTAATTTATTTAAGGCCAATATATTTTATTGCCGACCCTCAAGTTCGATAACTGTCAAGACATTGACTTTGAAACATTATGAACTACTTTTACAGCACATTTGGAACTAGTTCAGAGACTCTTAGTTTCGATAGCTGTCAAATAACTTACACTGAACTAGTGTACAGACTTGACAAAGTGTGTTTGGCAATTCGGAACCTAAATTTAAGAGTTTCTATTGCACATATAAATTTGTTACTCAATTTACAATCATTCACTTAGCATACTTTCAGCTAGATATATAAGAGCTTAGAGCTTACCTTAATAATCATTATGAAACTAGCTCAGACTGGTTCACAGATTATCTAAGTATAATTGAAAGCTATAATTCTTCATAGGCCCTAAAAAATAACTAACTATTTTTAGCAAACCTCATATATTATTTGTCACCTTATGTATGAGAACTTATCTGGTTCCAAGGTTTTGTTAGCAAGGAACATATGAGTGCCAGAGTACTTGTCAATTGGGACTAGCTCACAGCTCACAGGTAACAGGCCATACCTCTCCAATATCTCTCCAAGCGCTTTTTGGCAAATATGTGTCTGGAGCGGACAAAAACTACCCGACAGTCACTGTCCGCCGAACACAGTATTTACTGTAGTTCGCATATTAAATTTATTAGTGCTCTCTACAAATTGGTAACTTGGAGCTGTAAGTCTTAGGTTAGAAGTATATTGGGCACATTTTTCAGTATGACTAATACCGCTTAGTCAAGCCTTACTGTGCGCAAAATTTGCATAAATAAATTAAATGATTTTCAAGCACTTAAAAAATGATTTAATAGCATTAATGTTTGCCGCCGCCCTCAAAGTCAAAAACTATTCCATTAAATTAAACAATTAGTGCTTGACTTTTGCCAAAAGTTTAATGCAAGTTACAGTCACAGCAACACACACACACACACACACACACACACACACACACACACACAACCAGGCATACACACACGCCCAACATTTGGCGCTTAGAATATTAAACGTTATTTACACGGCTCGCTGAGCTCGACTTTGTGCATTCTGTCTGCGGCTGTCGTTTTGCCCCAGCTCCGCATATGGAACATGTTTGCGCATTCATTTGTTATTGCATAAATAATTATTGTTTAATTTGCTTACTTGCACTACATACTTTGTAATGAAGTTGTTTGTTTGCCCATTTTGCCGGCTGACAGACGAGTGCAACGGCCCAGACGGCAGCTACCCCCGCTTCCTCGCCGCCCTTGGCATCGGGTACGTTTTATGCAAATTCAGCTGAGCACTTTTTAATGTGGCCGGCATGCCTGGCATTTAAATGCAGCTAACTGACTTTATTATGGCTATTATAAATATATATATGTGTGTATATATATAATATAGGCATAAATAATTGCAGAACATTTGCCTTGCCGGGCTGGCAGTGCGCGTCATCTCATAAATTGCCCATTGACTGGGTATGGTTGATGTGGCTTGCATTTTATATATAGCTATAGATATATTAGAGAGTTTGTCCTAACTGGCTGACTGAGCTGTGTCGACCAGGAAGTTTAGAGATCGGGCTCCCGCGCAATATAGACACAATTTTCTTACCCCTGGCATTTACTACATTATCCCTTCGACTTCAATGTCGCTGGATAATAATAATATCAAGCTTCCGCGGTGGCAACATAATTTTTTTATATATAAAGTAAGTGTGTTTATCTCGCATCATAGTCACAATTTTGTTACCCGAGCAACGCTGGGTAATTTCTTCTCATAATTTTATATAGTTATTAGCATTAATAATTGCAGAACATTTGCCTTCGCCTCGCCGGCAGCGTGTTGCCTTTCAAAACTTGGCCATTGACTGGGCCCTGTTGCTGCCGCTTTCAATTTATGTATGTGTGCATATATAAACACATACATATGTATATGTGTATGCGTGTGTATGTGCTTCTGTATGCACAAGTGTGTGTTTAGGCACTCATACCATGTTTACACACACTCACACACACAGACACATAGAGTCTTACAATATTAAAAGCAATTTTGTAATTGCACTTCACTTTTCTATCGCTCTTTTTCTCTCTCTCTCTCTTCCTCTCTCTCACTCTCGCTCTTGCTTATTTCCTAAATTGTATCTTTATATATTTGTTTTTGCTTCTTAATATAACTATGGTATTTGTTTATGCACTGTAAAATTTGAGCTGCATTTGTACAATAACAAATATTCATTTCATTTGAATTTTATTTGCTTTAACTTTATGAAATTAAATTTGTTGCTTATTTGAAGCTGGCAAACTATCTTAAAGTACCTTATAAACGTTTTTTAAGAGGCTCTTATAATTGTTGGCTTTTTAATGCCCTTTTAATGAGTTAAAACGAGCATAAAGTATTGGTTCGATTATCTGTATATAGTTTTAAAATCTATCTGAGCTTGGAAATCTTTCAGAAACTTCCGTTCGACTTTCTGTTACAGACTGTGCATATATATCGAAACTTGCCAGATCGGAGTACTATATCAGAAAAGATTGGTCAAGAATTACCTTTCTCATACAAACACTCTCGTGTTATAGAATATATATATAAGCCAAATGTAACACTTACGAGCTCTAGCATGCTATTCACTTGTTGAAGATCGAAATTATATATCATATAGAAGACTTCGATGCAAAGGGATTTTAGCTGTTTATATTAGTTGTATTTCTTATTAGTTTTTAATTAGCTTTCTTCGAGATATCTTCACAAAACACAACAAACACTTTATTCATTCACTTTATTTTCCCCACAAAAATTTCCTTTAGGGCATTCACTTTTCTGCATGCATCAAATATCCATTTACTCCTGCCATATATATTTAATTTATGCACTCAGCATGGCTGGCAAAATATGTATTAATTGAGCATATTTACATTTTTTTTTATTATTATTGAAAACATTTGCATTCGGTTTCACTTTTGGCGTTTGTTTTGCTTTTATCCTATTAAAATAGTTTTGGGTTTAAGTAATAGACACACATATATTATGTTTATTAGCTGAAAATTAACATTTAGAATAATATATTATTATTTTGCAGCTAATTTCTATTTAAAACACATCGAATACGAAATTCCGTTTTAATTTTCAGTTTTCACT